GCTTCCCATCAATCGTATTGAAAAAGACTGTCACTACGTTTGGGGAAAAGGATGAATACCTGCCTCCTGGTCCGGAAGTCTACTTTGCGCTGAAATAATCTCAATTCTCAATCCGAGACTACCTAGGTAATGTAGACTGCAAGGCATCTGTTCATTCTTTTCCCTGTTTGCGGTGCTATATCTCTGATGAGTGTTTCGCTTCAATCATGTTCCGGCACCGTGTGACGCCATGCCATCTCCCCAGCTTCCCCGCATCATGGGACAATAGCCCGAAATGCCGATGCAGGTCCATGCAACCCGCAAGAATTACCTTCCACAGGCGACCAAGTCTGGATACCATCAACCAGCCAGAATTCAGGGGACACGAAGTGGTCACACGGTTCAGAAATGGACACTAAGAGAATTTCATCCGCGTCTTTGATTGCCGGCTCTCATTATGTAGTAGCCGGCATGTATTTAATTGGAGCATAGCCTTTCTTTTAGAGCTCAGCCGAGAATCATGAGACTTTTCTCTTCGTTACTCGCGTGCTGCGTCACGCTTTCTTCTGCGATCTCCATCACTTCAACCAAGAACTGGAACATCACGAATGATGTGGAGGGTTCAGTCCGTCTCAATGGCCTTGCTTTCCAACAACACGCCTTGACCACCTTTGGCGACTACCAATACGTCGCATTCTACAAGACAGCTTCTGGATATGGCAAACATCATGTCAACCTCGGTCGGCGCAAAATCAACCCTGCTTTGAGTGATTGGCAGTACTTTGCGTTCACAGACTATGTGCAAACGACTCTCGATGAACACAACACTATCAGCATGGGCATTAGCGGCGACGGCAAGATTCATCTGAGCTTCGATCATCACGACGTACCACTCAACTATCGTGCGAGCAACACAGGCATCGCTAAAACAATCCCCGAACAGTGGACAGCCAGCGCCTTTGGAGCGGTCCAACACAGTCTGCCTGGCTCAACCGGACCATGGACGCCGCTCACATACCCTCGTTTCGAACGCCTCGACAACGGCGATCTTCTGATGGAATTCCGTATTGGCCAGTCTGGCGCCGGTGACTCGTACATACATCGATACTCTTCAACATCTGGGCAGTGGAGCGCGGTCGGCAAATACCTCCAAGGTCAAGACAACAATGCATACATCAACGGCATCAGCAACCAGGGTGGAAAGCTCTTCGTCTCGTGGACGGTGAGGGAGACACCTACTCCCTCGACGAACCACGACTTCTACTTCGCCTTGTCGGAGGATGATGGCAAGAGTTGGAAACAGACTAATGGTCAAACTGTAGCAAAGCCGATAACGCCATCCACGCCTGGAATCAAGGTGTATTCAATCCCACAAAACAGCCAGATCATCAACCAAGAAGCCCAGTGCGCTGACCAGAAAGGCCGATTCCATGCCCTCATGCGCGACAATTCGACAGGGACGGCGCAATTCTACCATTATCTCCGAACTCCAGAGGGCAAATTTTCCAAGACCGCCATCAAGACGCCTGGTCTGTCAACGCCCCCATATCTTGCCTATCGAGGTAAAATCGCCGCCGTAGGCGACAATGTCTTCGCGATCCTACCAGATCAACCGAAGATGACTGTGCAAATTTGGGCCGCGACAGCCGCCGGAGCATACAACGACTGGAAGAAGTTGGCCGAGGTACCAAACGCTGCTGGTGAGCCGTTGGTGGACGAAGAGAGGCTGGACAAATTCAACGTCTTGAGTCTTTTTATCAGGCAAGGTGGGCCTTTCGGCACACGAAAAGTACAAGTCTGGGATTTTGGGCTCGCGCTTTGAAGAACAGAGTGCGCTTTTGACTCAGACTGGGGCTTGGTCTTCGTTCGAGCGAGTCGCCACGGCATATACCAATACATTAGTTCCAACAACACCAGCATTAGAACAAGAAGTTGAGGTTCTAGTGGCTTTGTTCCCGCACATTCTGTCTTGGCGCACTGACGCTCCTCATTTACTGCTGCTGACAGAACAAGATCGGAGCATGGAATGTTTCTCGGGAAGATTTCGCATCGCGCTAGCACGTCCGTTGACGCAATTGCACATCGGTCCCATCAATCCTAACCCAACGCTTAAAAGTAAACCTGGGCAACCGAGAACGCACGTTTACCCCAGGCCTGAATCTAGCTAGGTGCGGCGTAGTCTTTGAGTGGTTTTGCGGAGAAGGTACGTACTTGGAAGCTCCGATATGCCCAATTCCCTCGATGCCGGCTCAACCTCATCATGCACCCACCGGCTACAGTACACGGATACGAAAATGCTGGTACCCATGGGGTGACAAGCGGAGTAAGATGGAGGAAGACATGCGGGGCACGTCCACATCTGGTTTTGTCATCACAGCCGATGCGAAAATTTGCCCTCTAGTCCCGGATGCATCCCGTCCTTCGAGAAGCATAAAGCTGGCGGTATATCTCTAATTGATCGGCATCGGACCGGAAATCATCTCACCATGCCTTCCCATCTCTCTGTCCTCGCAGCCATCGGTGGCCTGCTCACGTTTGGACATGCCCAGAATTCGTCAGCCCCTTCAGCCTCAAGCACATCGACGTACTCGCAACCCAATGTACCGACTGGGGTCCCGATTTCAGGCGACTACGATGAGCCGCTTCGACCTCAAGTGCATTTCAGCCCGCCCGCTGGGTTCATGAACGATCCGAACGGCATGTACGTAGACCAAGACGGGGTTTATCATCTTTATTATCAGTACAACCCGACCGAGAACATCGCAGGAAACCAACACTGGGGCCACGCGACCAGCAAAGACCTGTACACATGGACAAATCAGCCCATCGCCATCTTCCCTGGTGGTCCAACCGAGGGCGTTTTCTCCGGATCTGCCGTCATCGATCACAACAACACCAGCGGCTTCTTCCCGAACCAGACCAACGGCGTAGTCGCAATCTACACCATCAATGTTCCCGAGAACCAGACCCAGCACATTGCCTACTCCCACGACAACGGATACTCTTTCACCAAGTACGAGAACAACCCTGTCATTGTTCCCGGTGGAACCAACCCCACTCAATTCCGTGACCCGAAAGTCATCTGGTACGAGCCTACTGAGAGCTGGGTCATGGTCGTGGCTTACCCCATCGACTTCAAGATCGGCATCTTCACAAGCCCTAACTTGATCGACTGGACTCCCACCAGCAACTTCTCCAGCTACGGCATCACCGGTCTGCAGTACGAGTGCCCGAATATGGTTGAGATGCGTGTGCAGAACTCCACTAGCGACGAGTCCAAGTATGTTATGTTGATTTCCATCAACCCGGGAGCTCCTCTCGGCGGATCTATCACGGAGTACTTCGTCGGTAACTTCAACGGCACGCATTTCGAAGCTGATGACGCCCGAACACGCCTCACGGATTTCGCCAAGGACAACTACGCCGGTCAGTTCTTCTACGGTATTCCCGCCGACGAAGACCAGGTTACGCTCAACTGGGCGAGCAACTGGCAGTACACCAACGTCGTTCCCACTGCTGGTGAGGAAGTCGGCGATGGCTTCCGTAGCGTCATGACCGTACCCAGAGGCCATTACCTCAAAGATCTGCCCCGCCAGGGTCTGTCTTTGATTTCGTACCCCTCCAACATCATGTCGATCGTCGAAGAGGAGCTCGCTTCCACTCAAATCACCAGTAACGGCACTGCCTTCGTAGACTACTCCACCGTCGAGTCGGGCGCACTTTACTTCGAAGTCAATGTCACTGGACTCACTGGCGGTCCTTCCCTCGCGGGATCTATTAGCTTCACCTTCCAGTCTTCGGTTTCCGGCGAGTCGATCTCAGGTGGAACCTTCCTCTCATCTGGCGATGTTTGGCTGGACCGCGGAAAGACTGAGGCTTTCCAGAGCCCTTACTTCAACGACAAGTTCACTGCCACCGGTCTTTACGACGACAGACAGGGCTCATGGAAGATCTCGGGTATCATCGACAGGAGCATTATTGAGGTCTTCCTGAACGAAGGCGAACTTGGTGCGACCGCAGTCTTCTTCCCTACGCAACCGCTCGATATGATGATGCTGAGGGTGGCGGGCTTGAACGAAACAGTAACCGCCAGTGTTGGTGTTTGGTCTTTGAAGGCTGCTTGGTTAAACCAGGCCGATGCCAATGGCACAGTTTCCGGTAACACGACCGAGGGTAGCAGCGCAATGCTAGGCTCTGCAAAGCTCTTCTAAGCATGTAGTTTAACACAGTAGTATGTGTGCAATATTAATGCCCAAGGCGGACTTACATCCCCAATAATCACTTAGCCCTTCTACGTGACGTCTCTACTATACCAAGGTCTATCCGACCTGCCCTTTTGAACACTACAACCGTGAAAATATTAGATCATCTGACTTCCTGCGGGTGTCACTTACTCCGCAGGCCGATAGATTCTCCACTCCGCAACTCGTGATCCGGTGGCAAGGGTGACATGGTGGGGACGAGCCCCTTAGCGTCCGCCTCCACACCCGAACCTTAATGGCGGATACAACACCCAATATCGTTACGTGCATACTATTACTGTCGCATGGCTTCGGCATATGTCCCACTGCCGTCATTGTGAGGCAAAACATATGTTGATGCGGAAGAACTCTACGCCGAAATCTTCCGCTGCCACTGCGACCGTAGAGTTCGTCGACGGAGCAACTCCGGCTGTAATCCGGTTCGTTGGAACTCTACCAAGCGCCGGCGCAACCTTGATTCTTTGAACATCCTCATTCGCAGATGGGTCTTAGTCTTAATGTGGGTGTTGTGAGTGGCTCGTCGTCCAAGGCTTCGCCGCAAGGAATTGGTCGAGCGCCGAGGTAGTACCACTACATCGTGTATAGACTACCCCGCTTCCAGCATTATCCAAGAGCCAAGTGGAACTTAGTGAGAATATGGTGTGTGCGGGCGCGTTACCTGAATGAGGCGCCGAGATTGAGTTGACTGCTATATTTATAAGAGAGCGACGATGAGAGTATGTAGTGAAAATCAACCGCTCCGTCCAATACCACACTACAATGCGTACATCGACCTTCATCAGAGCAGCCGTCGTGCTAGCCAGCAGTTACTCGGTTGATGCCGATGTCACGACTACCATTGACCCAAAATCGAACTGGGGTACTTGGGAAGGCTGGGGAACGTCTTTGGCATGGTGGGCGCAGCAGTTTGGGAACCGAGACGACCTTGCGGATATCTTCTTTACGCTGAAGCAGACCAAGTTCAACGGCGAGACTCTTCCGGGTCTTGGCTTCAATATCGTACGTTACAATGCCGGTGCCTGTAGCTGGAACACCATCGATGGTGAGAAGATGGTGGTGTCTCCAAACGTAAAAAGGTCGAGACAGATGGAAGGCTACTGGTTGGACTGGAAGAGCAGCGACCCGGCCTCTTCAAGCTGGAATTGGTATGATATTCACCTCCTGAGTGTGCCACGGGGCTGTTTACTGATCATCGTCTGTGTTCTAGGACGGTTGATGTCAACCAGCGAGCAGCACTCCAGAAAGCAATCGCACGTGGAGCAGACAGAACAGAGTTGTTCTCAAACGCACCGATGTGGTGGTAGGTACAATTCAGGGACAAAATGTGTGTAAGGTATTGACTTGTTCAGGATGACGAAGAACCACAATCCATCGGGAGCTGCGGACGGAAGCGAGAACATCCAGTCGTGGAACTTGGAGCAGCATGCAGTATATATGGCGACGGTCGCAAAGTATTTCAAGGATAACTGGGGGGTCGAATTCGAAACTGTCGACCCTTTCAACGAGCCGAGTGCGAACTGGTGGAAGGCCGACGGCACACAAGAAGGATGCCACGTTGATGTGTCCACTCAAGCCAAGATCGTCGGTTATCTCGACACGCAACTCTCAAATCGTGGGCTCTCAACAAAGATCGCTGCCTCAGATGAGTCGTACTACGATCAAGCTGCCACCACGTTGAAGACAATCGGCAGCAGCGCACTCGGCAAGATCAACCGGATAAACGTCCATGGATACCAATACGGAAGCGGCGACCGCGCTGGTGTTCGCACACTGGCTACACAGGCCGGAAAAGCTCTCTGGAACAGCGAATACGGTGATGGCGTGGCTTCTGGCGAGAACCTCGCCAAGTACCTCTTCCAGGATCTTCGCCAGCTGAAGCCTACGGCGTGGGAGTACTGGCAGGTCCTCGACCAGGGAGGCTGGGGTCTTGTCGACGCGGACAATGATGCGAAAACACTGGGTACATCGACGCAGAAGTACTACGTGCTTGCGCAGTTCGCCCGGCACATGCGCCCGGGTATGAAGATCCTCGATGGTGGCCGAGACAACGTCGTCGCTGCCTACGATGCTAGCAAGTCGTTGTTGGTCATCGTGGCCGTGAACTGGGACGCTGCACAGTATATCAACTTTGAGCTGTCGGGGTTCTCGGGGCGTCCTTCATCCGGCGCAACTGTCTCGAGGTGGAGCACCCAGATCGGGAGCGGCGATCGTTACGTGCAGCATCTCGATACCACGATCAGTGGCACAAAGTTCTGGTCAAAGTTCGAGAAGAACATGGTGCAGACTTTCGAAGTAACCGGGATCAAGTTGTAGAGAATAGCGCATGCAATAGTGTGCTAATACGAAACTGTTCCGTTGATGAGGTCAAGCGTTCGTTCGCGACATTGGGTGTGGGTCCACATCGTGTTATGTTATCCGATTTTTTGCTTTCTTCTGACCCATACCTCTTGATCTTCACTTCCTGGCCTTTGCTGGGTTTCCCAAACTTGAAGCCTATAGCTACCGCGGTCCGATCGACCGGTGTGAAGATCGAACGACCAGTCGTGCTTTGGACACTGGATGCCTGAACTGAGCACGACGCCAAAGTCTTCGATGTCGAAGGGTGTACCATTAGAGAGTGGATACGAAGAGTGCGGGCATTCCTGTGCGGGTCTTGGTCAACATAAGCCCAGTACACATAGTGCCAATGTCGTAACGTACGTGGTTCACCGCGACAAATTTTCCTTTGTACTGAAATACCATTACTTGGTCCTTTGCATCGCCACCAATTTCGGGGTCCTTCCAGTCATCAATTGCGACCTCTGTGGCTTTGGAGCTGTCGTCGCGAGGCACGTGAAACACCCGGCATCCAGCCACATACTTTTCGCCGCATGGGCGCTGTTCGCCGACGCGCGCGGAGTCGTCGAGATTCGGGTACGACGTCACTGCGCCAGCGCAAAACCACGCGTTACCAGCCTGAGATGACCGAGAAAACGGATTGACCAGGAACGACATGCTGGGAGGCGATGACGCCAATGTGTGCGACGCGTTGATTGCACGCGACGATGTACGATGGTGGGTGCCAGGTCTTCACTAGCACCACGCTAGCCGCAGTGGAAAGCGGCTAGACTGGTCTATGTCAAGTTGTCAACAGAGACTTCCGCTTCCACGCCCTGTGGTCAAATCTGGAAGTCTGGTTCCAAACATGGAAAATTAGAGCGCTTAGCTAAACAGCGTAGACAATGGTTAAATACCGAGATGGCTTCAAAGAGCCAGCATGTGTACATTTCCACGCTCCTTGCATACCATCGCACCTGTCTTCAGACCTCGACTAGCTGATATTCGTCGCTCATATACAACTACATCCAAAATGACGAACATCCAAGACCCTTCAAGTTATCTTGCCAACGCGCGCATCGCTCCAGAGATCTTCCAACTCCGGCCCGATTATCGCGCTCTACTTATGGTCGTCAGCAACATACCACCAGGCCCTTCCGACTCAGCAAGCGAGGCTTTCCTCTTCTCGGCAGAAACATCAGCCAAAGAAGTACTCACGAAAACTCCGGTGAACGACATTGCGCACGTGGCACAATGGAAGGAAGCCTACAAAGCCTTCGGCGCAAAGCCCAAAAAGACCATGAACAGTCTCGAAGCCCTGTTGCGTCGTGTAGATGCAGGCTTACCGCGTGTGAATCGCTTGACGGATATTTACAATGGAATTTCTATCAAACATCAGATCCCTCTTGGAGGCGAAGATCTTGACAAATACCAGGGAAGCCCGTTCCTGATACGCGCAAAAGGCGACGAGAAGTTCGACACGAAATCTGGCGGCGAAGTCGTTATCGAGCACCCGAGTCCCGGAGAGGCAGTCTGGTGCGACGATGGTGGTGTGACATGCAGACGTTGGAATTGGAGGCAATGCTCGAGGACTGCGTTGAGCGACGGCACATCGAATGTACTCTTCATTCTGGATGCGTTGGAAGCCATCGATGATGCGAAACTGAATGCTGCGGCGGACGAGTTAAGTCAAGAACTGCAGAAGCTGTCCGCAGATGTAAAAGTCGAACGACGTCTCTTGACATCGTGAATACTCTCCATCATGCAGCAGTTGCATTGCACTATGTATTTGCTACCTATAACGCGTTGTGGTCTCCATTGGGTGTCGACAAGGATGGTTTATAGACTGTTTATGATAATGTCCGCAGCCTATTCAACTTTAGCGTATATTCTGCAACATTTACAATCCCACTGACCTTCTCTGCAATCGCATACGCTGTTGAGCTCGTATGTGCACTTGGTAGGAAAGGCAGAATACTGATATCAACAACGCGCAATCCGGCCGCACCATGCACCCTTAGATCTGGTCCTACCACACCTCCCAGATTCCTCGGTATCATCGCAGCTGTGCAGCATGGGTGCAGATGCGAGAGTACCATGGAACTCTTTATGTAAGATTTGAGGTCTTCATCTGACTGAACAGCTGGACCAGGAGTGGCTTCAACCGCACCGTACCTGCGCATAGTCGGAGTATCCAGTACCTTACGAAGCCATTTGATATGCGCAATATGAATGGAAAAATCGACGGGACTGGAGCCAGCGCGGTAATCAAGTATGGGCTGAGCTAACAGGTCGGTTGAATTGAGGTGAACAGTACCGCGACTTAGTGGATGGAGGATAATAGGACGCATAGTCGTCCCAGTCGCAAAGGGTACTTCTGCACTGGGGGCTTCTGGGTTTACGAGAAGGTCGGCAAGGACGTGAAGTTGACGTTTGTAGCCAGCAACAAGGCTTGGGTCGGAGTTCTCTGGCAAATGAGCAGCCGCTGAGTCGCTATCAGCCGTCTTGCGCATCTCCTCAATGATTTCCATGTACTCTTCGGTCACGTTAGGAAGTGAGATGTACAGGGCAGTATTACTCATGGCCAACGTGTAAGGGCCTCGTGCTGGCGTCATATTGAACTCTGCTACTGCTCTGGCGGCATAAGCAGGATCAAGCATGTCTGAAGGCATATTGGAGAAGTTGCCAGGCTTCGTATCTGTGACACAGTCAGTGATCAGAGTGTCACCCTTAATGAGCAACCGGGATACTCACAGTTCCACGATATGCCGGGAGAAGAGTGATCTTGCAAGTTTGAGCCTACTCCAGGAAGATCCAGTACCGCGGTGATGTTCAAGTCATTGAGGAGAGCTGCAGGGCCAATGCCGCTCCTTTGTAGGATGGTAGGTGTGTGCATTGCGCCGGCAGAAATGACAACTTCGGCTTTGGCGGTTACATTGAACACTTCATCGTTAGAAAGAGATCGTATCTCTACCCGTGGTGGCCCGTGTGAGACGCCGTCAGTGTAGACAACCCTGATGACCTGATGCTTGACCAGCAAGTCGTAATTTGGTCTATCCGAAACGTCAGAGTAGTGGCCTAAACCAGCGTGCGAGCGCCTGGCCGTGACTGGATGCTGAGATATGGGTAGCCAACACATGCCTTCTTTGTCACCACCTCCACACTCATCTAGGGCTCGGATACCCATATCTCTCCAAGCATCCCTCGCGAGGTGAATGTCGCCCCATAGAAAAGGTGGGAAACTCGAATGGATGGGAGTCGTGCCGCCATACGCGGACATGTCCCAAGTGAACCCATACTGTTCCACCACGCTTGGCTCTGGTGGAGTGAAGGTCACGCTCTATATGGAGTCAGCTTAACGTCGGACACGAGCGGCAACCATACTCACCTTCTTGAAGTAGGGAAACAGGCTCTCCCAATCCCACTTGATCGTGCTGTTTGCAAACTCAGGACCTCCAATCTTGGTCCAAGCGTCGTAGTCATGTCTAGATCCTCGATCAAAGTACTGGCCGTTGATGGCGCTACTGCCACCGACAGTCTGGCCAACGAGCAGCAAAGCCTGTTTGCCATTCATTTCCGGATTAGGTACTGAGTTGAATGTGAAGTATCCCGATTTGTTAGTTGGCCCGCCCCAAACGAGACTTGGCGGATCAAATGCCCCTGGCGCATATGCGACTTCGCCGTACTCGACAACCAGCACTGTTTCTGTGATGGAGGTTAGTCAAAAGTACTTTGTAGACGGATGTGAGAACTTACTCTCTGGGAAAGCCTCAGTAAGTCGATCAGCTACTGTTAGACCAGAAGTGCCGCCCCCGACGATAACCCAGTCATAGGTAGGACGAAGCTCTGAGATGTGGCGTTTGAAAGCAGCGTGTGGGAGCGCATTAGCGCAAGTGACGGCTAATCCGACTGATAGGATTTGTGGAATCATGGCTGTCCGTTCAAAAAGTATCACTCCGATGGTCTACCGAGCGTCTTCTCTTATGTCGCTGCTATCGCGTTGCTATGCTGCTGTGCCACCCGAACGCTCGTGTCATTGGCACTCGATAGTGCGCGTTGGCATCTGCCGGTCGTGTGGACCGCTCGTGATCGGTATGAAGTGCTCATTGGTCCTAACCTCCGTTGTAAGTCAGACTTCGTAAGCGTTGCTGTGCATCGCAGCATGCGGTTGTGGTGAGATGCGTGCAGGAGCGAGCGACCCCGCTCGAACAGGAAGATTCATTAGTAGCCTGACTCGTGTCCGTTTTCTTGAGTGAGCATATCGCATATTCATCATGTCTTTGTTTGCGCAGCTCTACGCGGCGAAATGGCTGCTCGTAGCGGTCATTCTTGTGGCCTACGCTTTGGCGACCTTCGTTCGCTACCGGCGCCTTCGAGCCTTCCCTGGTCCGATCAGCTCGGGATGGTGTGAACTGCTGCATATGCGCGCGATACTGAGTCGACATTCACATCTCTGGTACAAAGCCGTCGGCGATGAATATGGTGAGTAGATAGTTGGAAGTCCCGAGGTCGCTGCGCGGGAGAGGCGCCGTCTTGCCCCTGTGCGGCCCGCTTGCCCCTTGCTGATAGCGCCAAACTGCAGGCGCCCTCGCTCGCATCGGTCCTAACGACCTCCTCACATCCTCGCCAGATCTGCTGGCCCATATGAACGCAGTGCGCTCGCCGTACACTCGCACAGCATGGTACAATAGTGCCGTGCGGATGGAGGTTGGGAAGGACCATGTCTTTAGCCAACTCGACGAGGTGCAGCACACGAAGCGGCGCCAACAGATGGCGTCTGGGTACTCAGGCAAAGAGAATTTGTCCCTGGAATCTGACATGGACGAACACATACACCAGCTTCTGGACCTGATCAAATCAAAGTATCTTTCGACTGTTACGCGGCACACGCCCGTGGATCTCGGGAATAAGATTCAATATCTTACTCTCGACGTGATCAGCAAAATCGGCTTCGGTAAAGCGTTTGGGGACATCAGAGCCGATGCTGACCTCGACGATTATATAAGCGCTGGTCGAGTCGGGTTGGCAATCATGGTCTTCACCGGGGCCCTTGGACTGACACCTTACCTCCATTGGCCACCCATCGCGCGCATGCTCGGGCCCTCAGACAAGGACAAGAGTGGTTATGGAAAGATGAGAACGGTAGCTCGGGAACTCATCGATTCGCGTCTGGAGAAGCCCACCAATAGTCGCTCGGACATGCTTTCGTCGTTCATACGCCATGGATTGACACGCGACGATATCGTGACTGAATCGATGCTCACGATTCTAGCAGGGTCTGACACGACTGCGACTGCTATACGTGGAACGATGCTCTATCTTATGACCACCCATAGGGCGTACAAAAAGCTGCAGGCCGAGATTGACGCTGCCGTTACTTCAGGTCATGCTGCTAGCTCGACCGGTATCGTGTCTGACGAGACGATGAAGAGCCTGCCATACCTACAAGCCGTAATGCGTGAAGGGCTTCGAATTCATCCACCTGTCACTGATATTGCTCCGAAGAAGGTACCCGTTGAAGGCGACAATGTCACGATCAACGGTAAAGCGTATTTCCTTCCTGGTGGTACCAACATTGGGTATAACGTAATGGGCCTTAATCGAAACAAGGAGATATTTGGTGAAGATGTCGACTGCTTCAGACCGGAACGTTGGCTACTCGATGAGCACAACGAGATCCAGCTTGAGCGCTTGAACGCTATGCGCCGTACTACAGACATGATTTTCGGGTATGGCAAGTACCAGTGTCTCGGGAAGCCTATAGCATGGTTGGAGATGAGGAAGGTCATTTTCGAGGTTCGTTATTCCAGACTTTCGTACCGAGTCCCTATGCTAACCTGTATCTAGTTCCTACGACATTTCGATTGGTCTCTTGCAAGCCCAGAGAAACCGTGGAGATCTAAGAACTACTTCGGCGTCTTCCTGCAAGACCAAATGTGGTGCCACATTACTGAGAGAGAACATGGCTTATGAGGGCCTCTGCGTGACGGATGTGAGTCACGTGAAAAGTCGCAGGGCTTCCAAGGTTTCTTTGACGTCAACTTAAATTGATCCCAAGGCTTCTTTCCCTATGTTCGTTAACGGCCCCTTTACTGTCCAATCAGTCTGTTCAGATAGGGCGGAAAGTTAATTATTCCGGACAGGATTCTCGGGGTTTGTGATGTTTTATCCAACCTGTCCGGATTTCGACCAAGTTTCCGGTTGAATGACCTGCGCACGGTGCGTTATGCACGGCATATCGTGATGCTTGCGGGGTAATGTGGAGCGAATGTCTACCCCGGACTAGCCACCAATTTGCATCAACCGAGATGCATCAACTCGCCGGCTAATATGACACATCGCCCACGTTTTGACTCTGCTGACCGGCTTCGCAGTTGTATGTGATCGCATGAGGCACTGCATATGTGACTTATGCAGTCCGATAGGCTGACACATTCTTCACGACTGTTCCGATGCGCTTCGCCCGGGCGACCAAGCAACCATTACAATGCCAAGATCGCAAAAACAATCCTAGAATGCTTCTGTTCGGCAAATGACTACCGGCTAGGTAGACGGCGATGTACTCATATTTCTCATTGGTGGATCTTCAGCAACGATGCTTCCGTACAGCCTCATGGAGAGGCTTCAGATGGCAACTGTTGTATATGAGCGAATGCATATGCGTTGCAAGCATGGCGCGATTCCCCAGATCCTTCCGCCATGAAGCTTCGAAAATCCTGGTTGGCCGCTGTGTGCTTCGCCACTCCCGTTCTTGCGTCATCACCAATCGTTCATTCTCAGGCTGGCATATACCAAGGACGTTTCCTGCAGGAATTCGACCAAGACTTATTCTTAGGTGTCAAGTATGCTCCAAAGCCAGTGCGATTCGCTCCCGCTCAATTAGCACCGGATTTGCCTACGACATACCACAATGCCACGCAGTACGGTGTTGACTGCACTGGATATGGTGGAGACACAAACACCCTGGTTGCCGCAAATTGGACAAAACTGGGAGAGGACTGTCTACACCTGAACATCGTCAAGCCAAGGACAAATGAGACAAATCTCCCGATATTGTTATGGATCTACGGAGGAGGATGGCAGCAGGGGGCTACTAGTGATCCAAGGTAAGCTGTCTGGAGTGACTGCATTCGGAGCGAATACTTACCAGCGCCAGATACAACATGAGCTACATTGTTCAGCAATCAGTGCTCAACAACAAGCCCGTCATCGGCATCTCGATCAATTACCGCATGGCAGCATTTGGCTTCTTGTACAGTGAAGAAGTTGAGGCCGCTGGCGCACAGAATCTAGGACTTCGCGACCAACGGCTCGCGATGCAGTGGGTCAACAAGCATATCTCAGCTTTCGGTGGTGATCCTGAAAAGGTCACGATCTGGGGTGAATCAGCGGGCGCATACTCGGTCGGTGATCACATAGCTGCATACAACGGCGATAACGAGGGCCTATTTCGCGCGGCTATTCTGGAAAGTGGTAACGCTGTTGGTGCGCCTCTCAACGGTACCGACTGGTACCAGCACATGTACGACAACCTGACCGAGTCGGTCGGCTGCTCAGATGCCGGAGATACGCTCCAGTGTCTTCGTGACGTGCCCTACGAGACCATCGCACCTTACGGCTACCAAGGTCTCGAATGGTTTCACGTTATAGACGGTGACTTGATACCTCGATACGGTCAACAATCGTTGCGGGAAGGCAAGTTTGCGAAAATTCCGCTTATTCTCGGCACCAACACCGACGAAGGCTTTGGTGTGAACGGGGTGAACAGCGACTCCGACGCTATCAACCAACTCGTACACTCCAAACGCTGGAACGTCAACGAGACTGTCGCGGAGAAACTTCTCGAGCTGTACCCGAACGACCCTACAGTCGGCGAGCCGTACGGATGGGGAAATCGCACATGGCCGCAGTTTGGGTTACAATACAAACGTTACCAAAGTATCGCAACTGATCTGACCATGTATGCTCCTCGGAGATTGCTCGCGCAAAGCATGAGTGAGCATGTTGATCAGGTCTACTCGTATCGATGGGATGCGCCCAAGTTCAACAACACACCGGAAACAATCGGCGTTAATCACTTCTCCGAGGTCAGTACTATGCTATCAGTGGAGTGCGAGAAGGACTGTAGAATTGACCGTAGAACAGATACCCTTCGTCTTTGGAAACCCAGAACAGCAACTCACTCCATTGGGCAATAGCTCCGAAAACGTTGCATTGTCGAAGCTCGTCATGCGCATGTGGACTTCTTTCGCGTACGATCTTGACCCTAATGGTCATGGAGGTAAGTTTGAATGTCTTTCATTGTGTGGGTAAGAGTACACTAACGCGTGTTGCAGTATCCCAAGCTCCCGAATGGCCGAGCTATGCCACCAATGCGACTAACTTCGTCTTCCGAAAAGACCAAAGCTACATCGAGGATGACGATGATAGAGCTGAGGGAGTTGCATACATTAATAGCCTAGTACGATGAGGCTGTCTGTAACCTAGTGCTATGAGGGCCGGGTAATACAAATGAGTCCCGGTCTGCACGACAGTCGAGATGACTATCTGAGAACGAACATATCTCATGTGATGAGCTACCAGAGCTGAAGATGTGAGCACCCCAGATGGAGAGATAGAACAGCACGAGCCTGAGATCTTTCCTCTCAATGCATGCAGACCAGTTTCGGTCTAGTCCAACGTCTCGCAGCTTTACCAAATGATCAATACCACACGCAACAAAGATGTTCTCATGAATGACGTGAGCCTTTTCAAGCATTCAAGAAATCTGACATATATGCTTCGATCTCAGCCTGGGTCATTGAGTCCCATAGATCTTGCAACAATTTCTTCGGCTTCGAAACGTCTTCATGCCACTCTCTCATGTGCATCTCTGTGTTCCTTTGGCTGAAGTTGCAAAGATGTTGCGCGAATGATGGGTCAGGTTGTTCCGTGGCCTCAAGAAAGATGATGAGCTTCGGAAAGCCGGGACAGATCCAAGCCTCTTCCGAGCCCCAAAGAGATTCGTATCCCGCAATTTCTTCCTCTTCCGAATCCCAAAGAGATTCGTGTCCCGCAATTAGTTTCCGCAGGGATTGGGAGCGGCTGCGCCACAGTTCGATTGCTGTAGAGAAGTGCTGCTGTAGTTGAAGCAGAAGGTCTCCAATACGAACGCCATCCGTCTGGTGTACGCTACCCACCATTTGCAGTCCTTCGCGAGATTTCGTTGTCGCGTAAATTCGCAGAACCTTGCATGGTGGTCGCGTAAGAAACATGTTGTTAACAAGCTGCTCCCGAGATGGACCTGTGTTTGATGCTAGACTTCTGAGATATTCTTGTATGTGAGGCTTGATCGTAACAGTGTAACTGCCCTGGAATGGTTGGAAGCAATCCCCGAACAAGTCGACGAAGTATGGATTCACTTCGAATTGAGACAGATCCAACCATCGAGGACCATCTGGAGGAGAATAGAAGCTCTTCAACTCGTGCGGTTCGAATTCTGAGTGCATGGCGGTATGAAGAGCAGTGAGCATTGGTTGTGGGAGTGTATTCGCTTGCGTGAATCGCGCCGTGATAAAAGGCTTAGTCCAACCAAGGAGAAGGTTACCACGGAGCATAGAGTTGTCGTAGAAATGCTCCTGGAGGCGTGCGACTTCGTCCTCAGATGGAGGAAGCCACTTCATGTTCAGTGGAATCGTGTCACCGTGTTCGACAGCTGCGCAGGGGTATGGGATACGGTATTGTGTATCCAACATGTGAACAACGATCTTTCTCCAACGTCTTGAGACATTCCATGCTGCGTACTGAGTTCTTGGAGAGGTGTGAGAAAGGATTAGCTCGAGCACTTCGACGACGTTTAGGGCGCGGTGAGATCTGCCATGGTCTGCGTGTCGTAAGACTGATGACAAGGCGTGTGAGGCGTTCTGACCTGTGGGTCTGGGATCGTAGAGCGCGATTCTTTCATCGATTGCGCGTAGAGCAGAGGTGCTCCAATTTTCGATACTTTGCTCCAAGTCCGCATCCTTGGATTGGTTGGCGGATGCGGGAATCTCGGTGTTGACCATACCTAGGTACTCGCAAATCTGGGACGATGTGTATTTGAGATTTCTTAAAGAGAGAAAGAGAGAGAGAGAGAAGAGAGGTAAAGAACTTGTCGACCATCCGCTGGAAAATTTGGCTTTTATGTGTAGGTCGGTTCCTAGGCAGACGGCAAGCACGTGATGTGGACCCTGCCGACCCGTGAACGTTCCAACCTTGGAAGGTTCCCAAGGCTCTGTCGTACCGACCCATCGTTTCAGCGGATGCCCACTCCAGTTGTTCTTACACTTATGCAATAGTTCGAAAGCACACTTTTCTTACATCTCACGCTCGATGTAGCAGTCGTGTCTCGATAGACCGATGGGGTGGTTGCGTGCAGGTACCGTCAGGCATCAGGGCGAGAGTGTGGCATGACGTTAGATTTAGCGACAAATACTGGAAGTTCCCCCGATCATATCTTCCCCGTGTCGCAGATATCCTGTGGTCAAGAAGCTTCTTCGTCGATGTAAGATCAAACATCGTAGATGGGTGACAATACAACAAGACTTTGGAAGCGCTAGGAGCGGGAGGTACGAGAAGAGGCACTTGAGAAGGGGCCGCAGACTGGGTCGACGGACAACGCGCAAGGCACACAGCTAGAAGTGTCGAAGTCCTCCCCAACACACGCCGTGTAGAAGACGCACCAATCTCCCCGCGGGCGGTCTCGATGCTGACGCTCTCGCTCAAAAAGCCGCAAGAGGCTTAGCGTGTGATGACCCTTATCGGCCGGGCGTAACAGCCTGCTCACTTCTTCCACCATTCATGAGATCTACGATTGGCGAGGATGAAATATGATTCAGTTGGTGGCTACAGATTCATGCAGACGCAAAGGGTAATAGTCGCGCTATCAGCGCTTAGTACGATGCTTGTTTTGACGGTGAGACCGTTTAGATGAAGGTGTACCGTGGACAGAGGGTGTATAAAGGTAGGAGGTAGAGCTGTGATCAACGACAGCAGTCCATACTTTTAACAACACTTCTTGACAAAGTTCTTCTCTATCAAACCGTATCCGATCAATATTACCACTCGAGCATCAGTCTCCGTAACAGTACAATCATCATGACATCAGGAACCTCCTGCTCAACAGAGTGCATCAAGGGCTCAATCCACGCGGGAACACCCAAAGGCACCATCGAAACACTCCACGGTCTCTCTGTGTACACAGTCGGAAACAGGACCACACCACGCGCAACCATCTGCATCTACTCCGACATCTTCGGCCTGGGTCTTCCCAACAACAAGATCATCGCCGACGCTTACGCCGCCTCAGGAGAGTATCTAGTCCTGCTCCCAGACTTCTTCAAGGGCGACCCCGTCGGACTCAAAGTCGCCGATGCGCTGCTTCCAGTAGACGCGGCGGCACAGAGTACGTTTGCGAAGTATACGGGTATCTTGGCGAGTTTGCCAACATTCCTGATGTGGCAGCGGAGGCATGGAAAAGCGGAGTCGGATAAGATTTGTCTCGATTTCATGCGCGAGCTGAGGCGGGCGACGCCTAGCGAGAGGAAGATCGGTATGGTTGGGTTTTGCTGGGGAGGAAAGTATGCTGCTCGTACGGGGTTGGAGAGCAACATGATCGAGATTGATGGGGTGAAGAAGCCGCTTGTCGATGCGATCGTGGCGCTACACCCAAGCCACCTGGTTGTTCCCGAAGACGTCGAGGGTCTTGTTGTCCCGACGAGCTTTGCGTGGGGCGTGGAGGATATCGCTGTGAGTTTTGAGACGAAGGGCAAAGTGGAGGAATGTCATGCGAAGGCACAGAAGGCGCGAAAAGAGTTCCCTGAGATCGAACACAAGGCGTATACGCCTGGCAGGCATGGGTTCGCGGTCAGAGGCAACCCAGACGATCCGCAGGAGAGGAAGGCGCTGGAGGACTCGGAGAAGCAGGTACTTGCGTGGTTCGAGAAATGGCTCTGAAAAGTGCTCTGTAATTCGGTAGCCGTATATTGGCATAGGTATCATCTCCGCGTACTCAAAAACTCATTATATCCACCCTAGCGCCGTTCGCCTGTCAAGAGACCTTTGCTGGGCCTCTCAATTCCGCCTGTATTTCTGGGGAATGTTCTTCTCCACGACGCCTCTGAGCTCAAGCCTCTCCCACTCCTCTTGTGCCGCCTCCTTCTCCTCGTGCATCTTGAAATGCGCAATGTCCTCTGGGTGGTTCAAATCCTCCTCCTTCACGTCGTCGCCACTGTGGTACTTCTCCCAATGATGGATCTCGTACTCGTACTCGTCGTCACCGTGGTGGCCTGGGCCCATGCCGAAGTCCGGAAGCTTGACGTTTTCCGAATCCTTTTGCAGGAACTCAGCCAAGGTGATGGAACCGTCCTTGTTGATATCGAACATGTCTAGAATAGTCTGGACGACCATTTGCTTCTTGGTTTCGGAGATGGAGGCGCTGGAGGGGTCTTCGAGACCGTAGGTTCGGCGGATGTCGACGGTAGTCCATAGACCGGTACTGTCGTAGTCGTGCATGTTGAAGAAGGTGGTTGCGTCGTAGCCCGCGATGTGATGCTCCTCTGCGACAGTATCAGTAAACGGCCCTTGCTATTTGTTTCATGTTGTGGGGATCTGGGGAAGTTCATACCAGCCATGTGTCGCGTCGCCCAGTCGGCGTCCGCTGGGACTTCGACTTGCGCATGTTCAGCGCCGCCGTGCGCCGAGGCATTGAGGGCGCATGAAAGCAGCAGGAGCGCGCCAAGTGGTAGTCTAAACATGCGATCCATGGTTCTTGAAATTGTAAGGCGCGAGAAGGGGTAAAGTCGAGTTGAGTCGTAGCCCAAATGTTGACGGCGGCCAGGGGCTCGGCCCCCATGAGGCCAATCGCCGACACTATGTCATAGGGGTCTCGAACTTAAGCTTTCCACGTGCAGCTCTTTCACCGCACCACCAACACGACGACTTCACCATGAACGTCCTAGTCCTCCTGAGCCTGTTGCTCTTCATTCCATTTCTCTTCTTCCTTGCATTCCTAGCCGCATCTTCGTGTATGGGCGACGGTTTCCGCGCACGATTCGCTGGCGTCACATTCAATCCTCGAAACGCATCGTTTGGTCGCAACTACACGCGAGGATTCGGGTCGGGAGCAGGGACCGGCGGCTGGGAACAAATTGAGATGGAAGACATGATGGGGGAAGACAGCGACTCGGAGTGAGGAACTTGACACACTCGATAAGAAGTATGGCTTGACTGCCCATCTCGGTGCTGTACAGGGTATCTTCATCTACACACTACCGCCGATTTGAGCCTTCTAGAACTCCAGATCCTGCTTCTTCGGCATCTTGCTACCACCAGCCGCCTCCCGCACAGCCTCCTCCTGCGCCTCGGTATCGCCTTCCATCGGTGGCAGGCTGTACTTCGCAATCACAAACTTCCGCCTACTCAATGTAAACGCCATATCCTCGCCCAAGTCTCCTGCTCCACCGCCGCCGCCCTTCTCATGAAACACCGGTAGTTTATGAACGGCGAACATACCCTGCGGTCGCTCTTCTTCCTTCGTCGTACCTGCTGATTGTGCGAGTGCTTGCGCACGCGAGTATGGGAATGGAGACAGCTCAACGACACCGTCAGAGAGGATCTCCATCCAGCGGACAAGCCCCGAGGATCTTGGATATAGGGTCAAGGGAATTGTGATAATGGCGGTCAGGCGCGTTTGATACTGTCGGAGTAGCGCGCGTAGAGCGTGGAGGAATTGGAGTACGGAGGTCGGGTGGGCCGCCGACGGAGAGTATAATGCCGGCGAGAGTAGAGACGGTATCACAACGCGATGGATCGTGTGTGGTGGTGTCGATTCGAGCTGCTGCCGTATGTTTTGCAGAATCGGAGGGAAGGGTGACGAAGTGCTCGTCGGTGGAGGTATGGGCACATAGTTGACCGCTGTCCCTACAGGGAGCGTGAGGCGTTTGGCGAGATCGAAGGTATGGCAGAAGACTATCTGCTCTTCTGTCGCACTATCGCCTTGACCTGCTGTCCTCTGCCCATTGGGAGAGCCTGTTGAGAACCTTGTCAAAACTGCTCGATTTATGGTCTTGCATTCGCAGAGTATATGTACACAACGCACCTCTAGCACTCTCAAACTGCCCCAGACCTTCATATCTCCACGCGATCTTCATTTTCTCTGCTCGCTCCTTCCCTTCCTTCCTCTTGTCCGACTTGTCTTCTGATATGCCTGGCAATTCCCTGCCCCACACTTCGCCCATGCCTACTACATGCACTTTATGGCCCTGCACTACTCCCTCAGCTGCGTAGAACCGCAGTAATGCGCCAGCATAGTCTGTCGTCCCGCTCTCGCCTATGAGTATCGAGTTTCCCAGTGCCAGGCCAGCGTGTCCTGCTAAGATGCCATCAAGCGAGGGTGTGCCGGTCGACGTGGTGGGGCGGCCATCGATGGGTGAGGGACGGACACCGGGGGGTGTTGGTGCAGGTTGTGCTATCGAGGGAGACGAAGGTGCATTTGACGCGTCTTCGCCTGCCGGTGCGCGAGATAGCGCGATGTTGCGCTTGCGAAATGCCATCTGGGTGTGTCCTGGGCTATGAGTCGCGACCCGTCGAAAATGTTAGAGGGGCTATCGATAAGCGCAAGTTAGCGTCAGACGCCATCCACCCA